TCTCTTTCCGTTATCCGTAAGACTCGCACCATCGTTCGTATCGTTTCCGAAACATTTTTCTTCTTAGTCGTACAAACTGACTCTCTTCGCGTCTGACGTCTGAAATTGTAATCGATACATTTTCTTTCAGTATCCAAGTCAGCCACCGAATCCAACGAGTATGCCACCCGACTCGGTAAATAAACAATACTCGGAACCATATCCCGATCGAACAAATCACTCGAACAGTCAAACGAACGCGATGTCTCCTCCGCAGCATGGCTACAACAACAAATTATGGGTAAATAGTAGGAGAATTTTCAAGCAACGACTTTATCGTTTCAAATGTTATAAAAATCACAATAAAAAATGATTCCTTTCATCGTTATCCAACAATTTATTTAATAATTCGAATAACTACAACAGATTATTTGCACGATATCGAGAGTACTAATTTAATTTCTATGCTTTCGATTTAACGATTGAAATTAAACAAAATCGCTCGTGTTTTCTGCAGCAAAAACACGCGGAGAGTTTTGCAAAAATATTATTCTTTCTTACGATTTATCGTTAAACGTGTCACTCGCGATGACGATCGACGCAAGGATCGTCTAAAATTATCAAATTAAAAGAAAAATTTAATTCTTTCTTTCCGAAGTATCCGAATCAATCGTCAAACGTACCAAGCAATATACCCCCGGATCCAACGAACAAGCGATATCCAGAATCGTATCCCGATCGAACGAATCACTTGAACGATCGTATGAACATGTTGTCCGTTGGGCAACTCGGCTACAACAAATTATGGGTAAGCGATATATGAGAAATATATTATTTTACAGTTTTCATATTTTACCACGATGGATAACAACTCGTCTCGATTGTATAAAAATGTCTCGCACGATATTAATTTAAGCCTCGTACGATGGTATTATTCGTCATTTTGAAATAATTACGTTCCTTTCGGTGAAACTTTGCGCAAGTCGGAAACAACAAATAAATTCCTTTAATCGTTGTTATCTCGTTATTTCCAGGGAACGGAGAGTATCGATCTTTTACAATGTAGAAACGTTCTACCTACGGAGAGAGTAGAACCACCAAAAATCAAACTTCACCAAGACTTTTTAGACAGCGTTAATTGCAGTTCCGAGTAGGTACAATGTTTAAAATTTGATAGATAATAATATCGTTATACTCGGAGTACATATAACAATGTTCAATCAGACAAATTTAATCGCTAAATGCAAGCAACAATCGCAGTATCAGTTCAATATCTATTCAATTCAGTCGGTAAAAGATAAACAGCTAATTATTTAATTTATTGGAATATTAAGTCGGGCAACTCTTCTTCAATTTCATTTTTAACGATTTTAAAATTTTTTCAGGATTTTCCGTTGCACGTTAACAAAGATTCCCGAGTCAAATACTTTACTTCAGAAATCTAGATTGCCCTTCGGAGTTTTAATACATCCGTTCAAAGACTTAAACGTAGGTAAAACAATTCCTTTCTTCTTTTTTTTTTTCTTTCAATTCGAATACTCGGCGTGTTAAAATATGAATTTGCCACGAGCTACTTTTGTACTTTTAGCACTTACCGGTGATACAATGCAGCACTATAGTCAGATGTCGCGCTTGCAGAACGTACATCAATCCATTTGTGTATTTCAACGACTCGAAAAGATGGAAATGTAATCTTTGCTACAGAGTAAACGAACGTAAGCATAAATTTTTACAATTTTAGTTACCTTTCTTAATCGTTATACTCGAATTG